CCCCCCCCCCCCCCCCCCCCCCCCGATAATAATGCCCAATCAATATTTTGGGGGTCAAAAGAAAATGAGACCCTGTCTTATTTTCAGGGAAACACAGGAACTAGTGTTGCTTCAGGGTAGAATTATTTTAAAATGTGAATTCTAATTCAGTGTGAATATGTGAATATTAATGGGTTTTATCACAGCATTTTGTTAGACAACTATTTTGGAAATCCCTTGTTTGGTTCCTCAGAAGTAAAGCACTAATGCTGCCTTCTTTGAATGTATTGCAGGAGCTTCATTGCAGAAATGACTATTTATGTCAAACAGCTGGGCAGAAGTAAGTCCTTGTCTTACTGGAAATGAACATCTTGACATAATTATATCAATCCAATTTAAAAGAATTCTTTTCCATTTAGAGAAATTAGTCAGCCTGAATTGATTCAGTATACTGGAATGCTTCATGTTGATTAGGAGTTTGCAATCAAAGAACTTTCAGACTGTGAAATAACCTTTCCCCGCATCCCCATTACCTGGAGTTGTCATACACAGCTGACTAAATTTAATTAAAACTACTACACCTATATCGCAATCTAAATACAACATTCCTAAAAATTTCTGTTATCTGTAAAATTTCAGAGCTCACACATGGATGATTTTTAGGCAGTTGTGACTATGGTTGTGTTTTAACTTTTTCATTCTAAAGCAGTTTCTTAAGCTTGGTATTTTCTAGGTATGTGGACTTCAAATCCCAAAATTTCACGGCCATTGATGACAATTCTGAGAGTTGAAGTCTACACACCTGGAAGTTGCCACAGTTGGGGAACAGATTTCTAAAACAAAGGAATAAAAGGATGGCCTTTGGTTAATCGCTCTCAGAGGTAGCATTCCTCTATTTCAGGAATCTTTGCTCGTGAGCATGGCTCAAATAAAAAGCTGGCAGCACAGTCCTGTGCTCTTTCTTTGGTCAGACAGCTCTATCATTTGAGCATCATTGAAGCTTATTCTGGACAAACCAAGAAGAAAGAAGGTGAATCGGTGAGTTTTGCAGATAATAGTCTGTAACTGCTTCATTAGTTCGACTTGTAATTTGAGAATAATGTAGTCCTGGAAAGCAGGATACAAAGAAAAATGGGCACAGGTAGTCCTTGGGTTATGGCAGCAATTGGGACTGGAATTGCTGTTCTAAGGGATCTAGTTATAAAGCTCAACGTCATGTGATTGCACTGCTTAGCAATAGCAATCTTGATTGACATCGTCACCCCCCCAGGACCATATGGGTCGTTAAGTGGGAAGAAGCAGGAATTTCAAGCAAGGAGAAAGGATGTGCTGTAGGCAGATGTTACGGTGCATGGGTGCACCAACTGAAGCGGGGAGGGAGGAGGGTAGATTACATGCAGATTAAAGAAGATTCTGCATACTACAGAATGGGTGGGCGCCATTGAGTATGAGATCCATTACTCCATAGCAGGTTCCTTGGGAGAAAAAGCAGCAGGAGTAACTTACTATATAACTTTCCCTGCTGGCTTTCCATTGACTTTGCTTGTGGGAAGCTGGCAGAGAAGAAGGGAGAGGAGCATACAATGAACATGTGACTGCCACGGCTGTGTTGTGAGCTGGACACCTACATACCAGTCACATCAGTGGTGGGTTTCAAAAAAATTTAGAACCTATTCTGTAGGTGTGGCCTGTTTTGTGGCAGTGGCTCGGTGGTCATGTGACCGGGTGGGTGTGGCCAACTTGGAAAATATGAAACTCACTTAACAACGCTCTTGCTTAGCAACCAAAATTTTGGGCTCAATTGTGGTCATAAGTCCGTCCTTCCTTTTGTGTGTCTCTCCCTTTTTCTTTCTTTCTTTCATCTCTATCCCACTTTCTTTTTCTTTTCTTTTTTTCTTTCTTTCTCTTTCCTTCTTTCTTGTTCTCTTTTTATCTTTGTCTCTCTTTTTCTCTCACCCTTCCTTCCTTCCTCTCTTTTTTTCTCTCTCTATCCCCCCGCTTCTCACACACACATCCCTTCCCAATTATATTCATAGATATATTCTATGAACTAAAACCGGTGCTCAATAAAGCCTATGATCACGGCATTCCATGTCCTACAAGCCAATTCACAGAGCTTCCAATTCAGCCTCTTACCACTCAGGGGTTTACCGAATATGGTTAGTCGTCCTGTTATCTCTTAGCCTTGGTTCCCGCCTTTTTAGCAGAGCGGCAGAGAGGGCTAATTTCAAACGGCTGTTGGACAAGCCCACGTGGCACATGCTGCTCCCTTTTCTTTGACAGCCGCCTCATTTCCAATGAAGGGTGGGGAATCCATGCGATTTCCTCCCTCTGCATGGATTCCCCACCTCTTCATTGGAAACGAGGCAGCTGTCAAAGAGAAGAGAGCAGCGTGCGCCACGTGGGCTTCTCCCAATCCTCCGCTCCAGCAAAAGAAGTGGTGAGGCAAGCCTGGTGCAGACAGGCGGAGCGAGCAAGCAGCAACTGGGCAGACGGGGGGAGTGAGCAAGCAGCAACTGTGGGGGAGGGCAGGCCAGGGGAGGAAGTACAAGGTATCTGGAAGAATGGGTACGGGAAGGCAGGCTAAATTTCACCAACCAGTACGCCCATACCAATCCGTACCAGCTGAAACCCACCCCATGAGTCACATGACCACTGGTGTGCTCCAACAGAACCAGTCATTTTTAGAATGCTGCTGTAATTTTGAATGGTTGCTGAACAAATGGAGAAATAATTCAAGGACTATCTATATATGATTTAGAAATTTGTGGTACTAGATGTAAAGTTTTCCTTACATAAATAGCTATGATATTGCAATGCCATTCTATTTTCCTGGGGATATAAAAGTATTTCAATAGTGGGATGACTAAGCTTAAGAAAGAATAATTTTAAATTAATGCATATAGTGGACAATAAGATATTCCTAATTGACATCAACCAAGAAGACATTTGGAGAGTGAAGTATTAAAATAAAATAAATTAACTAGTATATTATAATATATTAGAAGTACTTTCCTGCTATGATGTCCCTTTGCAATACCTAGAAATATGTATATGCTTCCTGTTTCCATTCCTACTATCTCTTGTTTAGATTTTTTTATATGTGTGGATTTAAACATGGTCCATAATAACATTTGTTTTTAAAAATATATGTTGATGGTTTTAGGTGATTGTATTATGGGCCATGAATATTTCATAACTTTTTTCTGTGCAATTTTTTCAGTGTTAGTAAATAATTCAAGATATTTGATTTCTTTTATTGCCTGAGATTAATTTTATATGATTATTTTGGATATTTATTTTAATTCGATAGGTAGAGCCTTATGATATCAATCTCACTTCTAATTTGGAAAACCAGTTGAAGAGAATTGTAGATGATATGTGTCTTGAAGTCATTCCACCAGTGAGTATGTGTTCAAGAAAGCATTGTGTTTCCTTTCCTAGAATTTTGTTAAAACAGTTTTCAGAGCCATTTTTTTTTTGACTTGGCAGCCTGAAGATCCCAGTTCACCTGTTCTGCTCAGCATTGGAAAGTTAGCTCACTTTGAACCATCCCAGAAGCAGAATCAAACGGGAGTTGTGCCATGGTCCCCACCTCAGTCAAACTGGAATCCATGGACTAGCAGCAATATTGATGAGGGTCCTCTGTCATATGTAAGTCTACAATTTATAGCTTCTCATAAATCCCTTGCTTATCATCATCATCATCTATTTTTCCTGTTTATATTTATATAAAAACATCATCTTCACATGCAACATAAATAAAGTGTCTTCAGAAATAGATGAGCTATACATTTAATTATCTTCTGTTTCCAGGCTACACCAGAACAGATCAGTATTGACATAAAGAACAACCTCTTGTATCAGCTGGAAAATGACCAGGAACTAAAGAAAGTAAGTGCAGATACTTGAATTTGTAGGTTCCTTAAGGGTATGCTATATCTTAAAATAGAGAGCCAAACTTAAAATACATATATATCTTTATCCAGTCTTCGGCATTTCTGAAAAGAAGAGTCTATATTTCTGTCAATATGCTTCTAAAACTCTTGTCATAACCTTTAATTGGATGAAACAGTGAACATTATAGGCCAACAGTTTTGAACTAAGGTACCTCAGATGGGCTAATTTACAGAATGTGTCCAAAATCTGGGACATATGAACTCCCAAGAGAATTTGAGAAAATTGTGGCTGCTTCAGTATTACTGGCTGCTATTGGGCTACTGCCCTTGCTCCCTCTCTCCCTCAGCAGCACTCACTTACCTGCTGCTGGAAACAGAAGGAAGGAAGATTTCTTACACCCCCTGCTAGATTTACACAAGGAAACTCAATTGAGAAGCTGGCAGGAAGTCGAGTCTTTCCTGCTTCCTATCCCCTCCCCCCTCCCCTGTTATTTTGCTTATTTCTCTGCTTAGGTAAGGAAATATCTCTGAAATGATAACACAAGTGCTCTAGCTTCTCATCAGGTTTTCTAACAATATGTTTATGTTTTACATCAATAAGCTGAAGAATCTGTTTAAAGCTCCTTTTAAAATCTCAGTCACAGAACTTGAAGGACAGTGGTTTGCTAAACAGATATACTTGGAGAAGAACTTATAAATGAATAATTACTTAATAGATCAGAGCTGAAAAAGCTTCTTGGTTGAGAAGCGAAATGTCTTCAAAGAAAAACCAGAAAGTTCAGTTGCCTTGTTCTGTCCCCACTACACATGTGCGGCTCGACGTGCAGCTAAACCCACCTATTATCCTCCAATAAAACAGACCATGTGCATAGATCTGAATGTTTTATTTAAATAATAGGATATGGTGAAACGGGGGAAAATATGGATACATACAGTGAGAACTAAATACAAGATAGACAGTATTGAGTTACTGCTGAACATAAGTAATAAATACAAGCAATTTAAATGCTCTGCGTGGGATGTGGATTTGTCCTTGGATGACCATATGCTTCTGCCTTCTCCAAATGCTAAAGGAAATTGAGTCTGGCTTCCCAGCATGCACTTGGTTTGAGAGTGCGGGCTGATGGGTAAAATGGGTTGGGTCAGCTTCAAACAGTATACTTGGTATTTGTCTCTGGCCACTAGATCGGGCTAGAGAGCAACAACAGTATAAAAGTTATATGTTGGGGCCTGACATGCCTCTTGAAAAAGCACCTTTGGGACATGAATGGATCACAATTGCATAGTACTAACAGTGAGCTTTTTCCTGTCAGATTCTTCAAGAGAGGGAAACCCTGCCTGTGAAGAACTTTGAGGGAAGAATCCTGGACGCCATAAATCATAACTCCGTTGTGATCATCCGTGGGGCTACAGGTTGTGGCAAAACCACACAGGTTCCACAGTACATCTTGGATGAATGCATCCACAGTGGAAGAGCTGCAGAATGCAATATTGTTGTCACTCAGGTGAAAAACCTATTCAAGCAAATATTTCCAATCAGTCTACTATTTTACATTAATGGCATTGGAATTGCTTTTGGATAGGAGCTTTTTAGATCCAAAGCTGAAAAGGTGCTTTATAGGAGACATGAGGGTGTACATCATGCATGGTAACCCCTCGTTATAGATGCTGCATTTTTTTTCTTGAATTCATATAGTAAACAGTCTGAAGTATTTCTTTTTGTATCTAAAGTTCTTCATATCCATAGTTCTTTTTTACATCTTCCAAATGAATTTGGGATAAAGACAATACCTGAAGCAGCATTCCATATTGTAAATTCCCAGTAGGAATGTTTAAGCACCTTAATATACAAATAACTGCAAATATTTAGATTTCCAGCAGGTAATATTTTAATTTCAAATTTTCAGGACATCTATAAAAGTCTTGCATGCTTTACGTAACTTCATTCAGTTCTGTTACTTTTCTTGGTGGACTTGTTCCTTTTGATGAGGTGACCTGGGATTCTTACTCCACCTGTGATACCTTTTCTTAACACAGCCTAGGAGGATCAGCGCTGTCTCTGTAGCAGAAAGAGTTGCTTACGAAAGAGGAGAAGAGCCTGGAAGTAGTTGTGGCTACAGTGTTCGCTTTGAATCAATGCTTCCCCGACCACATGCCAGTGTGATGTTCTGCACTGTAGGTGGGTGTTGCTTGTTTAAATATATAGGTCATGATAGAGTGGTTAGCAGACAAAAATAGAGAATCTCTTCTCATGCCTCTATTGGACAATATGAAATGGCTGGTGCTAGAAATGTTTGTTATGTGTGCCTCCTATTGTCCATGCAGAGGTGATTGAAAACAAAAGTGTTTTGTGTATTGGGCTGAATAGTAAATAACTGCCAAACAGATAGTAGCAATTGTAATTTGTGGGATGTTTTGTTTCTGCCATTTCTTCTTCTTATACATAATGAATTGAAATCAAGGATGAGATTTTAAAAGGTTTTAATTTAGTTCCTGGGTTGTAAATTGTTTTTTGGCTTATGAACTTTCCACAGTTCAAGGTAAGAACTGCTAAAAGGGAAGAAGAAAAATAAATGAGGAATTGGCAGACCTCAGAATGATTACTCTGCTTGCGTATATGACTCAGTTTGACTGGTATTTGACTAGTTTAACAAACCATGATGATATGTTCACAATCAGTAACTGTGTTGCTTTACAGTGTCTTCCCTAATCTGTTCTGTAGAGAAATCATTTATCCTAATTCATCCATCCTCATTGATAAATACCTATTTTTAAGGTGTCCTCCTGAGAAAGCTGGAAGCTGGCATTCGTGGAATCAGTCATGTCATAGTGGATGAAATTCATGAGAGAGACATTAATGTGAGTAAGCTTTTAATTTATCCAAGCAGAGCTTATTTGCCATACATTTTGTAAATGTTCCTGCTGTTGCACCATATGAAAACCAATACACTTTCGGTCATCATGTAAAATCGCATTCTACCCAAGTACTGCAGACATATTTTTACATTAAAAGTGTTTTTTAAATAGTTGCTTTGCTCACATATAGCTTCTTAGAGTTATCTATAGTAAAAGTTACTCCCTTCTGGGGGAAAGATAGAAGTAAAATAACCGTGTACATCTAGCCAGTTTAACCCCAGTGTAGGGGTTAAAATGCTGGCTTTGAAACTAGGACAATATGAGCTCTAGCCCTGCCTTAGGCATGAAAGCTCTCTGGGTGACTGTGAGTCAATCACTCTCTTTCAGGCCAACCCACCTTACAAGATTGTTGCTGGGAAATAAGAGGTAGGAGTATTATATAAAATACTGGAGTTATATATAAAAAATCAGGATACAAATCTAATAATCTTGAACAAATCTGAAAAATTTGTCTATTGCAACCAGCATCAGTAATTATTGGAAAAGTACAAATTCAAAGGGGGAAAGATGACTCAGACATATGGATTTACTCAAGTTATACATGCTGACTCCTGCTTAAATTGACCACACCTTTTCCTGGAACCCCGATCAGGAGCTGCACAAGCTCCTTTTCTAAAAGACCTGCCACCAGGTGTGAGTTGAGTGTCCCCGAATCCTTGAAAGCATTTTTTTTCCTTTTGAAACAGGATAATTGCACATTTATCATACAATAAATAATTAGAAGTAACAACACAATCTTGGAAGTTTGGATTGCACTGCACTCATACTTATAATAAGATGGTTAAAAAATAACTGTTATAGGTTACATCTACAAAGCATCATTACTTAGCCTACTTCATAGGAAAAATATTGTGGCATATGGGTTTGTTATCTGGCATGGCAGCTGACTGTTGGCATGACTTAGCCATTGTAGTAAGTTAAAAGGAAAACAACAGCTCAATGCTGATCTTCAAATATAGCTGTACTGTCACTAGGATTGATTAACTGGCTTGGCTACTAGCCAGGGTCGGTGTAGGGAGATTGTGAGACAGGAGTCCAGTCTGGCATATAAGTGTTGGGAACTAGAACTCTGTGAGGGACACCAACCTCCTCAGTTGCTGGAGACCCATTGCTGATATGATCTAACATCTGAATGAGAGAGATAGAAGGAGAGGAGATAAAATGTATGCGTGTGGAGTGATGGCATAAGAAGTTTAAAAGTGTAGAAGCTTTTTTGGGTTCATCAGAAAGGGAGAAGAAAGGCCTAGGTTGGTTTCCCTGGAAGGAGGGAAGCGAAGACCCAGAGGGATCATAGCTCCAGCCAAGACCCAAGAATGGGAAGGAGGGACCTGATTGGCTATAGATAGTGGCTTCACCCAAGACCTCAGAGTGGAAGGAGGAGACTGGCTGTCAGTACAGCAGCCCTGGTCTCTGGGGAAGGACTGGACAGAAAACCCTGACAGTGGTTCTTCCTCCAATGTAGTAGTAGTAGGTGTTTGGCTGAGCAGTTCCATGCTGACCACATGGGAGTACATTCCAGTCCATTCTTTTCAGTCTCTTGTGAAGCTCAGAAGCAGAGGAAAGAAATGGAGAAAATGGGACAGGAAGCAGAAGAGAAAAAGTGGGATAGTCTATGAAAGGGAGGCTCAGGAAGAAATTGAACACTGGAAGCAGTATTGTAAATACTTCCTGCAAATAGTGTCACAGTATTTAGTTTAAAAAGCTTTCACTTTCTTGGTTTTTTTTGTGTGTTATCCTTACAAAACAATACAGCTCTAATTCAAGAGTCTCATTACAGTATGACAAATGCATTGAGATTGGCAGAAAATTGTACAAAATGGTTTGAATTATTTGTGTGTATATATACAGAACTCTACTATGCTATGAAAATAGTTCAGATAGTTGGAAAATACTTCAGTTAGTTTACAATAATACAATAGCAGAGTTGGAAGGGACCTTGGAGGTCTTCTAGTCCAACCCCCTGCCTAGGCAGGAAACCCTATACTGTTTCAGACAAATGGCTCTCCAACATCTTCTTAAAGACTTCCAGTGTTGGGGCATTCACAGCTTCTGGAGGCAACTTCTGTTCCACTGATTAATTGTTCTAACCGTCAGGAAGTTTCTCCTCAGTTCTAAGTTGCTTCTCTCCTTGATTAGTTATATATCACTGAATGCTGGTATATAAACTGAGTTGAAGTTGATAGCCTTAAATATAATAATTACCTCCATTTTTCAAAACCTATTAAAAGGCAGCCCTTTTTCTTTTGTTTTACAGACTGATTTCCTTTTGGTAGTTCTGCGGGATGTTGTTCAAGCCTATCCTGAAATCCGGGTTATTCTCATGTCGGCTACTATTGATACCAGCATGTTCTGTGAATATTTTTTTAATTGCCCTATTATTGAAGTCTTTGGTAGAACCTATCCAGTTCAAGGTAAACACCCGCCTAGTAGAACATTCAAATAAGTGTTCTGTTTCTTTCTTGGGGAGGGTAATGGAAAAGCTTGAGCTATTTGTGTGATTTTGAGCCTTTTGTGTGATTATGTTACAATTATATTTTGAATGTCAAAAAGCATGGAACAATGAAAAGAATGATTTAATACTGTATATAGAAAAAAAAGAGGGTTTTTCTTCATTGGTGAAGGAAAAAAATAGACTTAAAAATATTATTTTTATCCTTTTTTAATGCCTCAATGTGTTGTTATGAGCCTTCAACTTGAGAATTTTGAGGGTTATCTACAGACACCTTTGTTGCTGAGGGAGGGGGAGAGTTGATGAAGTACGAAGAAATGCAAAATATAAATCTAGCAAATGAATATGTTTTTTTGAAATCTCAACAGAAATTAGCATTTAGCTGATCAGATGATTTCTACAGTAATTTTACTCTTTTGGTTGTAGAATATTTTCTGGAAGATTGTATTCAAATGACTAAATTTATTCCTCCACCGAAGGATAAGAAAAAGAAAGATAAAGATGAAGAAGGTACTGAAGATGAGGATGTAAGTATGCTGTTAAGGATTTTTAGTCGAAATAAAATTCCAATATTGCTTATAAAAGTTAGAATTATAATGACAACGTATGTGTGGTGATACATCTTTTATAATGGCATAAAATTCCAATATTGCTTATAAAAGCTAGAATTATAATGACAAAGCATGTGTGGTGATACATCTTTTATAATAGCATATGTCTTTGTATAGTACTTTGAGCTTTATTATGCCTTGTTACGCTACGCAATATAAAATATAAACTGTTTCTATTTGAAAATAGGACACTTAATAAGGAACTTAGGATGATTGTTTTGAGTCAATCATTGCAGTCATTTTGATTTGGAGCGCTCATGAATCTTTCTGCTTTTTCAATCCCAGCAGTGATCTGCATAGTAATACTGTTATTAGTGAGAAGTCTACCATATCGTTATATATAACATTTTCTAAGAGAAGAGGTATGACTTAGTTGAATGGTGGAACTTGGTTATTTTCATGCAGACATTTCATCCATCATTTCAATTTTCTTCTAGGCAAACTGCAACCTTATCTGTAGTGATGAATATGGCCTAGAAACCAAAAGCCGCATGGCCCAGATGAATGAGAAGGAAACTCCTTTTGAACTCATTGAGGCTTTGTTGAAATATATTGAGACCTTGAATGCCGTAGGAGCAGTCCTTGTCTTCTTGCCTGGCTGGAATCTGATATACACTATGCAGAAATACCTGGAAACGAATCCACACTTCGGTACGGGCAATTTTCAGCTGTATTTTTAAAGAGCTTTTTTTCCCCTGAGGTGATCATAAAACTGAATGAGCTTTCTTGTGTATGAATGGAGGAGTGAATTTTATTTATTCATTAAATTTAGGCGCCACCTATCTCACTGTCTAGCTATTCTGGGTGGTTAATTGCTGAAAAGAATTGTAATATTTAAAATAGATGTACAAATGAAATAAGCTTGCTTAAAATGATTTCTTCCCTCTACTCTTACTGTAGGAAGCCAGAGATACCGAGTTCTTCCTCTGCATTCCCAGATACCTCGAGAAGAGCAGCGCAAAGTATTTGATCCAGTGGCCCCTGGAATAACTAAGGTGAACCTCTTGGAATAGGTGTAGCTCAATCATTTCCAGCTGTTCAGGCAGTCCTCAACTTATGACCACAATTGAGTTGTTAAGTGAAATTTTTAAGTGAGTTTTGCTTCATTTTACCGTCTTTCTTGTAGCAGTTATTAAGTGAATCACTGCAGTTGATAAGTTAGTAACATAGCTATTAAGTGAATCTGGCTTCCCCATTGAGTTTGCTTGTCAGAAGGTTTGCAAAAGGGATCACGTGACCTTGGGACACAGCAACAGTCATAAATATGAACCATTTGCCAAGCATCTGAATTTTGATCCCATGATGATGGGAATGCTGCAAAGGTTGTTACTGTGAAAAATGGTCATGTCACATTTTTCAGTGCTGTTGTAACTGAACAGTCACTAAACAAACTGTTGCAACTCAAGGACTACCTGTACAGCATGGCATTGGTATAATCCCAGCACATTTAGAGAGAGTGGATGTGAGAGTGCATTTGTGAATACAGCCTTTTTGTATTCAAGCATAGAGTTTGTTTGTCTCTCTAGGTGATCTTATCAACCAACATTGCAGAGACCAGCATAACCATCAATGATGTGGTCTACGTTATTGATTCTTGCAAGTGAGTTGTTCTGAAGCCGCTTCCTATGCTTGTGTTTGCTATCTTCTTTGCATTTAATTGTAATCCTTTTTTCCCCCCTGTGCTGACTGATTTTTGTTACTGGATTTGCATTTCATCAATCTCCTCAGACATCCACGTATCCATATGCTGTATCATCAACACTGTGTAGATAATTGATGTTTCTTTCTCCAGTTTTAAACTCAGTGCTTGTCTTCTTTCAGTCCAGTTTTGAGTCATTGGGGATCTGGTAGCATATAGATTATATGATGATGATGGTGATGATGATGATGGTGATGATAGCTGAATAAGTAGTGGGAGAGTTTGTAGCCTTGTCTGACTCCTTTACCAATTTGAAACCAATCTGTTTCACCATGTTCTCTCCTGGTTGTGGGTTTGTTCCCTGTTTTTAGATTTATCGTTAGAATAATGAGATGTTTAGGTACCCCTATTTTCCTTATGACATTCCACAAGTTGTTGAGGTCAAGACAGTCAAATGCTCTTCTATAAGTCAATGAATGGCATGTTGGCAACCTTTTGGTATTCTCTGAGTTTCTGAACTGTTAAGCATACAGCAGCAATGCTGATCCTTGTTCCTTAGCCTTTTGTGGAACACACTGGAGAAGTAGGTACTTCTGTTTCCTTTCACAGGTCTTTCATCTGTGTTGAATGATTTTGAGATTATTTTGCTAGCTTGTGAAATTGCAATAGTTTTCACAGTCTATTAAGGTTCTTTTTTTTGGTATTAATATGTAGACTTCTAATTTCTTACTGCTGTGTTGTTTTTCATATTTGTCGGTGTAATGCGGTTAGAGTTTTAAGTGAGTCTTTTATGGGCTATATTTTTGTAAACAATGTATCACTTCCTGTAGCTTCCCACTTAGTAATAAACAGTGCTAATCTGACTTCCTATTCCAATAGTATATTTGTCTGTAAGCAACAGTCTTCAAAAGTATCTTGGAAGCAGGCATTTCTGCCTGCTTTATGGAGTTGGGGTTCTTGTTCTTAACAATTTCCATCATCGAGTCGAACATATTTAATTTCTTGTAATTCTTAGTTTTTTGGCAGTCTCTCTAATTTTTTTTACAAAAATTGAGTCCACAGTTCCTCATCAGTGAGGTTTAGGACTTAAAAGTTGTTCTTGACATCCTCCTTAAAAGTGAAGGATATGCTTTGAAGATCATATTTTAGAAGCTGGGTAGTTTTCTTCTTTTGTTTTAGCTTGATTTTGAACCTGCACTTGAGCATTGGTACTGTTATAGTTTTCTTACAAGAAAACATTATACACTAAAAAAAAATGCTTAAGTTTAGACTATGCTAAGTTTCAGGTTCACATTTTTCATATCAACTTTGTTCCCCTCCTTTTTGTTCAAGCTTTTCATTACATCATTGAACTCCTACTTTCTTCCCACCAGCAAATAAAGGAAACCACAGGAAATGGGACAGGAAATCTTTAGAAAAGTAGCAAATGGACAAAATAGAAGAGTTGGGATTTGGAGGAAATTGTAGCCCTTTAGATGAAGATCAAATAGACTAATTTTAATTTCAGTTTGAAAAGCTCATCCCTCTCAAGTTAAGTTCAACTTCTGATTCCTTTCTAAATAGGTCCATGTCCTTGGCTGCAGTACAGAAATGGGTTACCATTGCCAACTTCTGGGGAAGAAATGGATGAATGAATAAGGAAGGGCTTCCTAGTGTAGCCTTGGAATTCTCTGACTCATCCTAATTGATTTCATCCTTACTTAGTTTTTCCCAACATCTACCATGGTCACCTCGGTGCTGTCACCTCTTAAGGCTAGTAAGGTTCACAAAATTGTATCTAACATTGATCTTGGCATTCACTGCAGAATATTATCCTGTGCTTTTTTTTTTTTTTTTTTACAAATTTGGGGTGCTGCCTCTTGTTTGTGAAAGTGATCTACTTTTTCATCCAAGTGTTCAGGAGTTAATTTAGTTTTTTTTTTCCAACCCCACAGACAGAAAGTTAAACTATTCACTGCTCATAACAACATGACCAATTATGCCACTGTGTGGGCCTCAAAAACAAATCTAGAGCAACGGAAAGGACGGGCTGGTCGCGTCCGTCCTGGATTCTGCTTTCATCTTTGCAGCAGAGCACGTTTTGACAGGTAGGCTCATACTCTGCACTTCTAGATCTTCTGGGGACTTTTAAGTAATTGATGCGGAAAAACAAAACCTTGGTTACAGAATAGGAATTAAGTATGTGGGATGGGTGTGGGTGTGTGCCTGCATTCATGGGTACTCTGAGCCAACAGCAAATTTCTTACAGCATTAATAACTAATAGTGCAAGGCTGGTTTACATATTTGTTGTATGGTATAGATATATAGTTTTTATGAAGAGTTGTGGAATGAGGAGGTAAATATAAAAAAAACAACTTGGATATCATTATTAGCAAGAGATTGTAGCATGAGCTCTAGAGATGAATATATCCAAAATGTCCCCTCTCTTCCAGACTTGAGACTCATATGACCCCCGAAATGTTTCGAACACCTCTGCATGAAATTGCTTTGAGCATCAAGCTGCTAAGATTAGGCGGGATTGGACAATTTCTGGCCAAAGCTATAGAGCCGCCCCCCTTGGATGCAGTGATTGAAGCAGAGCATACACTCCGAGGTATCTGTTGGATTGTCTTGTCAGTGAAAGTACGGTGTACATTTTCATAACTCCCATTCATTGGTGAAATGGAATCCAGTTTATTTATTTATCCAATTTATATTGCTGACCATCTAGGCAAGAACCTGGGCAGCCAAGAAGAAACACGGGATTCTATTAAACAAGAAAGTAAATAAAGCTAAATTGAGGCTCAGTAAAACCAATCACATGGACCTATACTAGAGCCCCCATATTAACATCCCAACATCAATAACTGGAGCAAGAGTCAGGCTTCCTTGGACTTGCAAAAGGTCATTAGAGTATCTATTTCAAGGGGGAGTCTGTTGCATAGGGCAGGGTTAATGTTATATAAGATAGTGAATATGCGCTAGTGTTGTGGTCATGATGTTTAGAAGGGCACTCAATGTTTACCCTGGGCATAAAACTATTAGTTCATATAGTAACTAGGAATAGCTTAATGTAGGTAGTTGTTAAGCTTAGCATCTATTTCTGATGTCTAAATGAATTCCCCCCTAGCAGTTTTATTGCTTTCCATCAAATTGGTGGAGGCTGTTAACTATCTTTGCAAAATCCCAGAACTGATTTAATTCTTCTTTTATTTCTAAAATTTTGCTGCCTTTTGCATTTCCAGGTCCTGTAATTTCTAGGTCCCTTTCTGAAGTGCCATTCACACAGATTTCTTTCAAAAAACCTTTTGAGTTGTACTTTTCAGACTGCTTGAGACTTTGCTATTACATAGCACACAGCACTCTGATCTGTTCACAACAATATTCCTACTACAGGATGGTTTTTTTTCATCCTAACTAATCTTATCTTAGGGGTTTGATCAGCTGTGGACCTTCTAATTACCAAAATTGTTATCCAACAATCCAAAAGCACACATTGCATTTTTCTTAATCTGAATCACTTGACTCTGCTTGTACTGGTCTGGGTGGTGCAGTGGTTAAATGCAGCACTGCAGGCTACTTCAGCTGACTGCAGTTCTGCAGTTCGGCTGTTCAAATCTCACCGGCTCAGGGTTGA